AACCTCCAGGGCCAAAAAAATGAGAAAAGCAGTGCTTTGCAGTAGTACAGGAGGTGATATGTAGTCTGGGGTCTTTTATGCAAAGTGTCTGAGGTGAGCAGTGGGAGCCAAAGTCTTTGTTAAAAGGCTTGTATTCAAAAGAAACCCCTAGTGAAGGCATTTTCCATTTATTAATTCTGTGCTGTGATGCTATGATTTCATCTAGTTCTGATGGCTTATTCTGAATTTAGACTGAGATACCTGAAAAAAAGTACATGATGTAAAATCTGCAAGCAGTCATGTGAGGAAGTTTAATTTCACAGCAGCCATGGAAGTTTAATGAGCCTAAATTTTCCTTCTGAAGCAGTTCATCAGTATTAGCCTTCATCTCAGCAGGGGTTGTCCATCAGCAGGTGCTGCTCACATCAGAGGGACATGGCTTTCTGGTATAGTATCTGAAAGTGGACAGATGCAAGTAGAAGCTAGTGATGTTAATGTTATTGACATTGTAGAAGACCCTAAATACTCAAGGTTATGGCTCTACCGAAATAGGCAGGGACACAGCCTCCTCTTTGACAGGCCACAATATCAAAGAGATCAAGGGAAGGGTATCAGTGGTAGAAGAAGACAAAGGTGTAGATAACAACAAGGTGAACCCACTGTGTGTATTGTGTCCCTTGGGATCAATATTCAGGCTTCATCTGTCCTTGCTTCTTGTTCTATAAATTACCCTGCTAGAGGGACCAGCTGTAACGCACTGAAGCTAAATGACATTATAGAAAGATGAGTGGGGAACTCAAGGCAAACAGCAAGTAAAATCTGGGAGAAATAGGCCCTCCTTTATAAATTGCCTGGCATGTGCCAAATGAAATGTAATGCTGACAGATGTAAAGTAATACTCCGCAAAAATAAACACAAGCAGAAAACAAGTAGAATTGAGCTGCTATGGAATGACTTTGACTAAGTCCTTGAAGAGATGATAGTGCTTGCTCAGAAAATGGTCTGACAATAAGGAAAGCAATTTTAAAACACAGGACTCTTGGAATGCACAAACTATACAGTGGCATTTGATGAAATACTAAGAATGGTGTGAGTCTCTAACTCAGCCACTGTGACTCAAAATAGTTAGCATACAAAAAAGAGGGCAAAATTATGTTCCTGCTGCTAGAGGCAGTTGTCTTGGGAGAGGATTTAAACACCACTAGTACCTCTGTTATGGTGGGAAAAATATTTGGGGTACCTGTTTCACCCGTACTGTTACCATGGAAGATTACTGTCTTCTCATTAGCAGCCTTCTCCCTAACACAGTGACCAGCAAGAACACAAGAACCACTCAGTTCAGACTGTGAAATCTCATGTGGACACTCACCTTTTGACCTCTTTCTTGCCACAGTGCCTCCATCTCATAGTACCAGAGTACTATTTCATTTCTAGGAAATCACTGGCTAGATCCAGCTGTGGTTGACATCTGTCCAGTTTGAGTGGGGAGAGGGACACAGAGCTGCACCACAATTCAAAATTCAGAACAAGCACTGTAGGATTATCCTGATCCCTGCAGGATTATAAAATCTCTTTGATTTCACTTGTGCTGTATTTCTACCTGTATAATTCAGTCGAACCCTACAAAGCATCCTGATCCCTGCAGGATTATAAAATCGCTTTGATTGCACTTGTGCTGTATTTCTACCTGTGTAATTCAGTCGAACCCTACAAAGGACTTTGTTAAGCCACGCCACTTCCTCTCTCAATCCTAGGGCTTCCTATCTTTTGCTGTGAGTGGCTGTTTTCTTGTTTCACAGAGCAGATGATTTACATGCAGATCAAAACAAAAGGACAAAATGGTGAGCATAGGACCGCTGCTACTTCACTTTCTTGCTCCAAGAATCCTCCCTAGATCAGCATAAGAATTTGCATTCCTCTTACCTGCTTATGCAATTTGAAAGTTATGTATCAGTCAAATCTCCTTTATGTAGTGAATAGAGAGAGTTAAACACTCCCACAGTGAGAGTCATCCCATCCTAGGGCCTGATATAGATGGGAGCTACTTACTTCTTTCCATTATATGTAAGGGGAACCCAGAAAAATAAAATAAACTAGATGCCTGGATTTTGCAAGATTGACATGAAGTTTACTTGGGGCTGTGTAATCTAATGGCAAATAGAATCACTTCCCAGTGGTCTGATCTGTGCTGAACTGAGAGAGGTGATCTCAAAATCCCTCTAGGAGAGATTACATCCAGGCAAAGAAGACAAATCTGTTGCCAGCTTGAGTAACTCACTAGACATTTTACAAGTAATGGAAATAGAGAGATATCTGGGCTCTGCTAGTGGAGCCATATTTTAGTGTGAAATGTGTTTACTAACATTACTTAAATTAAGGAAGTAACATCATTGTACCTGATGGGATCTTTAAAAATCACATACAGGGGGGTGATCTTAAATTCAACTCAGATCAATCCTCTCTGT